AATAGTCATCGGGAAGCGCGAGTAGATCTTGCCTTTCTTCAGTGGTAACACCATGTCTTGCTTTACCGGTACCTCCATAGGCACCCATGAATTCCTCAAACGTGAGGTCAGACACATCTTGGACTTGGTTTACTTCCACTTCTTCATCTACGTCGTGGTCACCCTCGAAAGACGCCAACCGGTTATGGTGTACTATCATCGGCTTTCCTCTCGGGATCTTGCTTATTCGGTAAATAACATCATTGATCTTCTCCATAATGAGGTATGGACCTTCCCAAAACTGCTGCAATTTGGGAGAACAACCTTTTCGCTTTTTGGGGTTATAAAGCCAGACTTTATCGTTCTTCTTAAAACACCCCTTTTCGGCTTGTGTATCGTACCGTTTCTTCATTCGGTCACTAGCGATTTGGAGATGGGAACGGACCAACTCGTGTACATCGTCCATTCTTCTTCGCAATTCGATCACATAATCTTCACCTGCTACATCTTCTCCAGGTCGACATCCAAACTCTAGATCACAAGGTAGTCGCATCTCGCGTCCGAATAGGACTCTGGCTGGTGTCTGGCCTGTTGATTCATTAACAGCAGATCTGTAGGCCATTGTGAAGAACGGGAGATATTGGTCCCAGTCTCGCTGATGATCGGACACCATCTTTGTCAAATACTTGCCAACTGTTCTATTCATTCGTTCTACCATACCATCCGATTGCGGATGATAAGCCGTAGTTCTTGTTTTCTTCATACCTAGTCTATCACATATTCCTTGGAATAAATGGCTTTCGAAGTTCCTGCCTTGGTCACTATGGATCTCCAAAGGCACTCCAAATCGGCTGATATATTCTTGGATCAACTTATCTGCAACGGTGGCCGCCTTCTGGTCTGGAAGTGCGTAAATCTCGACCCACTTAGTGAAGTAATCCATTACTACCAACATGTACTTGCCTCCATTATCACTTTCTGGAAACGGCCCAGCAATGTCCAAAGCTATTCTTTCAAACGGGCTTCCAACATTATATTGTCTCATAGGAGCTCTCCTTTTTCGATAAGGCCCGTTACTCGTAGCACAAATAGTACATTTCTTACACCAGTCTTTTACATCGTCGGAACTGTTCATCCAATAAAACCGTTCCCGAATTCGCTGAAGGGTCTTTTTCACACCAAAATGCCCTCCTGATGGACTGTCGTGTAACTGACGAAGTACTTCGGCTATTCTGCTCTTTGGAATCACCAACTGTCTTCTCTTCTCTGAACCGTCATCATTTTCCAGGACTCGTTTGAGCAAGCCATCTTCCATGATAAATGAGTCCCACTGGGCCCAATACGTCTTTACTACCGAGCCTAGGTTCGATATTTCCTGCCAACGTGGTCGACGGTTTTCCTCTTTCCATTTTCGGATTTTCTGGATAACCGGATCTCTCTCTTGTTCTTCCCTGATCTTGGTAGGCGTCCAGTCGTCGTGGACCACCGTCGTTCTTAGCACTGCTGCTTCCTTAAGGCCGGCGCGTTCTGGTTTTGTCTTCGGTCTTATGGTCTTCGTTTTCTTGTGTGTCATGCTTTTTATCATATTAAAGAGCTGGTCAAGTTTATCTTCATCTCCTTCCTCTTTTACAGTCCTAACTTTGCTATACCCGCCAGAGGCCTGCGTAGCTGACTCGTATTCGAGGGCGGCAGATAAGACATCCATCAGCGTCTTGTGACGAGCTAATCGTAGTGTTCTTTGCATCTCATGATCACGAAGACCATCAATAAACGTTTGAACGGCCAACTTTTCCATCATGTCTTCGGGAGCTGTTGGATAAGCATATCGCACTAATCTGGCAATATCTACTTCATATTCTTGAAGAGCCTCATCTTTCTTTTGTCTTCGATTTTTGAGCTGCGACTGATATACATGCTCTAAGTGTTCGTGGCCATATCGCATATTTAACCTCTTCTTCAGTTGTTCGAAATCATCCGTCTCTTCTACGGCTATGGTCTGGAGCACATCTAAGGCATCTCCTCGAAGAGCGATAGTCAGGTTTACAGCCTTTTCTTTTTCAGACCATCCATTCGCTCTTGCAGCTGATTCGAACTGTTTCATGTAGTTGTTCCATGACGATTTTCCGTCGAAAGTTGGAACCTTGACATGAACATAACCTCCGCTTCCTTCAAATTTCGGCCGTGTTTCTAACTTACATTTCGTCTCGTCTTCTTGTGTCTCTATGGTAATTGGATTGTTTACTCTCTCTGTTGTGTCTGTTCCCTCAATCTTCCTTTCCAACTCTTTCCATATCTTCTCTTCGAAGGCCATCATATCGGCAGCAATTTGGTTTTTTAATGAAGACACTCTATCGTCGAGGGCAGACATCTCAGAGGTGACTTTAGAGATGTTAGCAGAAACCTTGCTTTCCAGAGAAGCAATCTCGTTAGAAACTTTGCTTTCTAAGGAAGAGATCTCGTTAGAAACTTTGCTTTCTAAGGAAGAGATCTCGTTAGAAACTTTATTCTCCAATGATGCGATATCACAGGAAACCTTGGCTACATCGGAAGAAACTTTATTCTCCAATTTTGAAATTGACGCGATGACAGCATCTTCAAATATATAAGTTTCCGGATCTAAACCCTCTTCCTCCAAAGCATTCTTTAGTCGTTGGACTAACTCAGCCTTTTTTCCGGTAGAAGCTAATTCTCTGTCCTCAAGATGCCTTCTTAAATTCGTAACTGTGAGCTCGTAAATCGTCGTCATATTTCACTTCTTTTTATTTAAAGTTCAAATTAGATTTATTTAAAATCCCGCTTTTTTTTATTTGAATATCCCACTTCTGACACCACTGTTATATATTTATATAGTTCGAATTTATTTGTCTTTATTCTAATTTATTGTCTATAATCTAATTTATTAAAACTCACGATAGCTAATTACTAATTTATTAAATAACTTTTACAAATGTATTTATTTCACGTTTCGTACAAGCAAACCGCGTTTACCGATCTTCTTATGACTGACTTCTTCAATAAAAATCTTTCATTTATATACACAACTGTGTCATCCAGAAAATTCGGCGGACTTCTTGAATAGTCTCGTATTTTGGTGAAGGCGCTCGACTCGTTTTTCAACCTCGAGACGTGGATGATTCACCAAAATTAGTGTCTAGAGATTTCTGGTAAACAACTGGTAGCTAAGCTCAGGTATATTTTTGACCTACAAATTACGAGAATCAATAAAAAGAATTAGTCATAAAATATTTACAGTTCTATATGCCATAACATTTAAAATCGTAACAGTATACTAGTGTTATGGAAAATTTGGAAGTGCCGTGTATACGCCGAAAAATTGGTCCTTTAACAGTTAATGAAAAAACATTAATATTTAATTGTTTTAAATCATTTACAGACAAACGTTTATGTGAAAGTGTTGATGAGACCGTTGAGTTAGTTAGCAGTACACTTGGTGTTAGGAAATCTACGATTTACAGAGTTATAAAAGAAGAGAAATGTGGTAGTTTTCAAATGCCACGTAATGCTCCAGGGAAACCAAAATTTCAAATAGAATATCATTTTAAAGAAGGACTTTGACGGAAAGTGCATGAATTCTTCTTTAGACAAGAATTTCCAACATTGGATAAAGTTCTTGTCTCAGTTCGAGATGATAAGGATTACCCAGAAATGAGTCGAAGTACGTTATGGAAACTTTTAAAAGAAATAGGCTTCCGCTGGAAAAAGAATCCCAGAAAGTCTATTTTATTAGAAAGAAGCGATATTGTCATATGGTGAAGACATTTTCTAAGAACCATAAAGGAAATGAGAAACCAAAAAAGAAAAATATTTTATCTTGATGAAACATGGATCAACGAGGGTCATACACCAAATAAATTTTGGCAGGATGAAACTGTTACAAGTCAAAGGCACGCTTTTGTAAATAACTTATCTACTGGTTTAAACCCACCATCAGGAAAGGGACGCAGGCTGATAATAGTACACATTGGCAGTTCAGACGGTTTTGTTGAAGGTGGTTTATTAACTTTTGAATCAACTCGTACCGGTGACTACCATGAAGACATGAATGCTGATGTCTTTCAAGAATGGTTCGAACAAATGATAGATCTTCTTCCTAAGAACTGTGTAATAGTAATGGATAATGCAAGTTATCACTCCAGACTTATAGAAGGACTGCCCTCAACCAAGTGGTTAAAAAAAGACTTGCAGAATTGGCTGAATTCAAAAAATATTACGTACCATCCCGGATCTATAAGAAAGGAACTTTATTCGTTGTGTGCCCTTCATAAAGAAAAATTTAAAAAATACGAAATTGATGAAATTGCCAAAAATTGTGGAATGACAGTACTTAGATCCCCACCATATCATTGTGAATTAAACCCGATTGAACTGGTATGGGCACAGATAAAGAGTAAAGTTTTAAGAAAAAATACCACTTTTAAAATTCATGATGTTAAACAGTTGTTTTTGGAGGCCGTAAATAATGTAAAACCTGAATACTGGGAAAAGGCAGTAAATCACACTATTAAAGAAGAGGAAAAAATGTGGAAGCTGGACAATATTACTGATAAAATGATCGAGCCAGTTATTATAAATCTTGGTTCTGAAAGTTCATCTTCTGAATCTGATTTGGATTTGTAACAAGTAGCTGTAAGTTTTATATTAATATTTTTATTCATTTATTTAACATACCTTAGACGGTTTTAAAAACTCTTTTTCTCTTTTGTAATTTTTAAAAATTAAAAAAAATGTGAATTTTTTAAAACCCTTTTTAATGTAGGCCAGTTAGTTCTAATATAGTGTGTGATAAAAGAGGTCACTTTTGTTTACATACACATAACACTTTATAACACTGAAATATTTCATTTATTTTTTACAATTATTCAAAGTAATTTTTCAATTAATCTTGAGTACGCCCATGGAGTGGTCGGAGATACCAGTTAAAATTATGCTAATTACTCTCTCGTTCATAAAAATAAACTATAACTCACTAACATAAATACCACCATTAAGTTATTTCTTACCTTCTCATCTAGGTTATAATAAATACTATCAAAATCATCCACTATCTGTTCATCACCACAAATCATATCCCAACAGAAATCTTTTGGTGGTCCATAGCCATCATTAGGAAATATGCTACCAAATATAAAACTGTCATCTGCAAACAAAGTTATGGTGTATACATACCTATAGTAAATAATATATAATACATGGCACTTTTAGAAAATATTTGTAAGAACACAGATCTGAACAAGATAAATGGAGATAAGCTCAGTCATTTAATATTCGCACATGACACTGTTGTCATAGTCGATAAAAAAATAAATACTTACCCAAGTTAGAACTTCCTTGCCAAGCAAAGTTCAGTGTGTGGTTTTTCTCTCTTTTTAATCGATCTGCATGATCTAACCTAGTAAAAAACATTCCATTATAACCCATTTGGGCTAGGATGGAAGCGTGCTCTCTGCTGTGCCCAAAGGGATCTATTTGCCAACCCACCCTAGATCTTCCGCATTTGCCTATCGTTTCCTCGATTACCCTACAAGAGTTTTATAATCAATTGAGAGTTTTTCGTGATTAAAGATACTCATAAACCATATATAAAATCATTCTAGTATTACAATATACATTAGTAGAAATTACTTATCTTACATTGTACATACAGAAGGATGTACAATGTGAAGTATTATCATTCATACTATCGTATATAACTAAATTGTTAGAAATTTTGTATTAATGTTTTTAGTTTTTTATCAGATGGTTAAAATATTCATATTAAGAGAGTACACCCCTCGTCAGACCTGCCTAATATTAAACCTGAATGATAAGCTCTTAGAACAGATATTGAAGATTTTAGAACCGATAAAAAAGTCAATATTAATTGCTTTGAAAGAATAAGCAAAAAAATATCAACTACATATTGTTGCTGCGTTTAAAACTGCATACGAAAAGGATTCGATCCAGGACTTGAAGCAGGAGCCTTGGAAATTGTATCGTCAGTATAATGACCCCCTTAATAGAATGCAAAAGATTTAGACGTTGCAAACAAGTGAATTATGATTATTACAAAAATATACGTTCCTAAGAAAATAGAAGTGTAGCCACTTGAAGACACTTTTACCTTTGACCCCTGCCATTACAAGCTTCGTCTACATTCGTCCCCACTCCACACTTCGGTCATGCCAACTGTTTAAAATTTTTTAAAACTGTTCATGATTATTTGTTTAAGACCTGATCAAGACCTGTTCGAAACCTGATCTAAAGCTGTTTAAAGATTAATCGTACACCTACATTTTACGATAAAAAAAGATTTGAAAAGACAACTTATAACGAAAGGAAGAAACATCCAAAGAAATTGAGACAACTCAAACAAGAACACATAATTTAAGAAGATTTATTCATCACAGGTCTCTTTCAAATAGATTTGAACTTTTTTAGATCGGGTCTCGAACAGGTCTTGATCAGGTCTTGATCAGGTCTTGAACAGGCCTTGATCAGGTTTCGAAAAGGTCTTAAACAGCTTTAAAAATTTTTAAATACTTGGCATGACCGGAGCGTGGAGTGGGGACGAATATAGAGGGGCTTTCAACGGCAGGGGTCAAAGGTCAAAGTGTCTTCAAGTGGCTACCTTTCTACTAAATGAAGACTTGTAGATAATAACTTCTGAATTTAAAAGTTTGATAAAGTCACTATAATGTTAATCGCGATGAAAGTATGATCGTAAGTTACATCTAGGTACTGAAAAATCTTTATTTAACAATATTTTGTGCCAGAGTACGTGCGCATAACTGGAACTTATCTTCCACGATATGATATTGAAGGGGCAATTTAAGGAAAGTTTTTAAGCGACTTTGAAAAAGAGTTTAAACAATTTTTGTAAAGTCAGAAGTTTCGCCAGCAGATATTAAAGAACTACGATGAAAGATAACCCATTTTCAACAATAACAGCGAATAAACCGAATTCTATAGAACGATATATCGCCATATATTAAGCGAATAGTGATTACTTTAAGACAAGACAAGAATATTCAGTCTTGTTTTCTTCAATTATTTAACATTTTCAATTTTTAAATTAAATATTTAAAGACAATTAAATGGTCCAATAGATGCTACCTGAATCCTAAGGTGAATTGATCAATAATTGATTGGTAATTTGTACAGGCTTCATCGTTCATGCTCCATCCTCCGCTCACTATTTCAAGTTGTCCATTATCAACAAGGGTTTTAAAAATAAGTCGCATACCTGCGTCTTGTTCTTTCCACCATTTGTAAAAGAATGCTGTCTCCACCTGGATGAATCTAAAAAATTCAAAATGATATTTATTTCTTTATGATAATTCACTTATGCTGTGGTTATGTCATGTACTTGACGTAGTAATAATTATGCTGTTAGTAGATTCCCTTCTTCAGTGTCATTAGGGAATTAACGTTGTGGATCAAGTAGTTACTAAACAAAAAGGTGATAATATAATTGTATACATATACCTTCTGTCTTTATTTTTCAATAACTCTTCTACCACCGAGGATATTATGTTCCTTACAGCTATGGGAAAGCCAGCAGCTAACGTGTTTACTAAAAATTAATAAACGGAAAATGAGTAAATAAATTATTAGAAAAGAAAAGTATTTTAAGTGTACAGCATATTTAGCTGCTGACGCTTTCGGTTCACAAAGCCATTCTCAAGGCTATGAGAAGTAATTTCTCTAAATTGTCGTCACCTTTACGAACCACGTGACCAATGAATCGTAAGATTCGGTGAAGACATGCTGTAGATAGTTGTGGTATAATCTCATGTTGCTAAAGATTGGTAACCTTTATCCGATGATGTCCAAGGCATTTGCAGCATTTTTCTCCAATACTACATCATAAACACAAATATATATACTACATATTTTACCAAAAACTGTTGTAGAAAAACAAATAATTGGCAGTAGATAGCTAGAAGTAGCAGCAGATTATCATGCTTAACAGGTTAAGTGACACCATATTGAAAATGTTAATATATTCACTGGCCGATCGCAAAGTCAAGGCTGCCATCATTCCAAGGAAAACGTATACATTGACGAAACTTTAATGCCTTTTCAAGTGATTTAGTTATGAAACTTATGGATGGCTGCTTGACAAAGGACGAACACTTGCGATTGATAACTACTACAGTTTTGTCACACTTGCACAGGAACTCCTATACCGAAAAACTTATATGATTGGTGCGCTACGTGCAAACCGCAAATATAATATTAAAAATGTCATTTCCAAAAAATTAAAAGTAGGGGAATATGTAGCTAACAAAGTAATTCGGGCATCGTTGTTCACAAGTGGAGGGACAATCGAGATGTGCTGATGATAAATACTAAATTTGCTGACGAAGTATTGATAACGCAGAAGGCATGCGATGAAGGTGTAAAGCCAAAGAATGTCATCGAATATAATAAATGTAAAATTACGTAAAGGAATAAAATGGTACAGGAAATTATCGATGGAGCTCTTGACTGGCACAGCATTTATAAATGATTTTGTCGCGCATCAAAGCATTACCAATAAACGCGTAACGATTATTATATTTAAGGAAGAGGTAATTCGAAGCCTATTTGAAGATTTTCTTGTCACATTAGTTATTATGGAAAATAGTCACAAACTCAGCGATGTTGGTCGTGCAGGCAGAAGACGATGTACTACGTGTTACACAAAAATTGGTAGAAGAGGAAGGAAGGCAAATAGCAAAGAGGAAAGCAACTAATACCTCATTGACATGTGATGGCTGTAAAAATTCTATTGGCTGTGTTTTTGTTATACATTCCGTGACAAAAAATTAAGTAAGTACTTTAGATACAATTTTAATACAATGTTATTACAGCAAAATCAAAAAAGCAAAAAACTCAAGCGGCACAACAAAAATCATAGAAATAAAAAATGAGAAAAACGTCACCATCAGAGACAGAAAGGAAATAAGCGAGGCCATTGAAAAATTCTACACTAAATTATACTCGGTAAATACACAACCACAACAACGGCGTACTCAACGAACAATAATTAACACTGGCTTAGAAGAAATACCGGACATAACCGACTATGAAATACGAATGGCCCCAAATCAACTTAAAACGAATAAATGTCCGGGAGAGGATAAGATTACAGTTGAAATGTTGAAAATTGGTGGCAGAAAAATGGAACAGGTATTAAATGTTTTATTTACTAAAGTAATTGATGAAGGAAAGATTCCTCAAGAATGGTACAACTCGGAGGTCATTTTACTATTCAAGAAAGGAAGCAGAGCAAACATCGAGAACTACCGACCAATATCCTTGCTATTACATCTGTATAAATTACTAACTAAAATCATAACCAACCGCCTAACACATAAGCTCGAGTTCTATCAACCTATCGAGCAGGCTGGATTCAGAAAACATTTTAATACCATAGACCACTTGCACACCGTAAGAACACTGATAGGAAAATGCCCCGAGTATAATGTTCCAATTCATATGGCGTTCGTCGATTTTCATAAAGCATTCGATTCCGTCGAATTATGGGCAGTGCTTGAATCTCTAGAAAATGCACGCATAGATTCAATATACAATAACATAAATAAAAACATATATGAAAATGCCACCATGCATATAAAGCTGGACGAAAGCACCAAAAATAATCCCATAAGATTACAACGGAGAGTAAGACAAGGAGACACCATCTCTCCCAAACTATCTACCCTAGCTCTAGAAGATATTTTTAAGAAACTGGAATGGAACAACAAGGGTATCAACGTCGACGGATCATACTTAAACCACTTGAGATTCGCAGATGACATAGTTTTAATAGCCGATAATATCCAAGAAGTAAATGATATGTTACAACAATTAAATGCAGTTTCAGGAGCGGTACGCTTAAAAATGAATTACAGCAAAACAAAAATACTGAGACGAGACCAGACAAATATAACAATACAAAATCATACCATAGAAAATGTGGAACATTTTGTATATCTAGATCATGTTATTAAACTAGGAAAACCAAATCAAGATGTTGAAATTAAAAGAATACAACTGGCTTGGGGCGCTTTCGGCAAACTAGCACATATCTTGAAAAACACCTCCATTCCTATAAACTTAAAGAAAAAGGTGTATAACACATGCATACTACCTGTTTGTACCTACGGCTTGGAGACAGTAGCACTTACCAAAAAATCTGCCAAAAAATTAGAAACAACGCAAAGAGCAATGGAACGAATCATGCTTGGAATATCACTAAGACACAAGATTAGAAACACCGAGATAAGAAGTAGAACGAAGATTGGGGATATTGTGGAAGAA